GCTTGGATGATAGAATTCTCCTATAAATGTGATTCTATGTTGCATAATGCTTGGTTGAATATACCTTATGTTTTTTCTTCTTTTTGTTGAAATGATTAGTGACAAACATACCTAAAGGAAACTTGTCCGATGTACCTATCAGTGAGGGCTTCATGGCTTATTTGATTTACCTGTTGACGAGAGCTCGTAGTCTGTTAAGCAGGACCTTTCCATGTATTAAGCCTCGATCCTGGAGATGAAGATACGGACAATTGCATGCTCTTCTTCCATCAATCTTTCTTGATTTTTGTTGATTCTTGATTGACGAATTAGGGTTCATTGGACATGCAACTCAAGTTCCTCCTTGATTGTCTAACGACATGGCAGAGAGTTATTCTTTTTATTTGTTAGTGATATGCCAGCCATCTTGATGATCAAAGAAAGATCCTCATTGGTACTCGCATGGAAACTTCATCTTCAATGACTAGGGGATGTCTTTGTGCGACCATGGTTGTTTACGGCCTTACGAGACACAGTCGTCAATGAACCATTGATTGATGATGCATGTTGACACAATGATGCATGCTATAATGTAGTGGCATCTCGTTGTCTTGGTCCTTGTTGCCAACGCGCGAGCTGGTCCCTTTGAAGATGACGAAAGTAGGCATATTCTAGTTAATACAAGGTGGGTTTCATACTGCTTCTCATCAACATCCTAGCTTGAGTCTTGGAAGGCTCAAAGCTAGGTTATCTTTCATGTTGCTCATAGCCTATCGATTTGTTCGTCCACTTCCACAGCTGTAGTGGTGGTTTGGTTTAGGGTTTGTGGATTCATACCAAACCTTGAACAGGTATAGCTTCTATTCATTCTTTCCTGCCAAATGTTAATAGACACATACCCGAGGAAAATAACAAATTTGAAACATGGGTTCTGTTGTCCATTTTTTTGTGATTTTCCTCTATGCTAATGTAAGGATGGTTTTAGGATTGTTTAGCATAGATTTTGTTTATCATGTTTTATGTGTTTGCTGCATTTTAGTATGGTTCAAGGCAAAGATAACTTGCAACAAAAGATAAGTGAATAAACCTTGATACTCATAATTCTTTCTTCCATGAAGAATGAGCTGGGTCTTCTTTGCGTAAAGTTATTGGAGTTCATCGTATGCCTTGATTCATCTTCGATGTGAATTTATCTCAGGACTTACCCAGGCTGAATTTGAAAGTTTTCTGCGGGAGTTAGTCCAACAAAATAACCAGTATCTACTAAACCATACTATTAGCTCAAAAATAAAACTAGACACCATGTCAATTTTAATTTAGAAAAGCATTTTAACCTAAACACCATGCTTAATTTTAAAAGCACTTTGGAAGTAAGATCAACACATCTTTTGGTTCAAAAATCAAACTAAACATCACGTGTAATTTGATTTAAGAAAATAGTTTAAACTAAGCACCATGCTTACTTTAAAAGGTGTATGAAGATGCTCCAAACCTAAGCATACTATAGCAAACAAAGGTAGCATGAAAGCATAAAAGAGATTTATTCAAATGGAGATGAAAGAGCATGATCATGGTGAGATTCTTTTTTTTAAATAAAAGATACAAGTGGTATAAATGTATGCAAGGAACTAAATATGATGTGGATTTGATATGAGAGAATTTGAACTAAATGGAGTGGATGCATGAATCATTAAAAATAAACATGCAATGGAATACAAAAATTAAAAGATAACTACTCATCAAGTTTAGAGTCCATGAGCAAGACTATCTCACCTTTCTTGATCATACTTACTATGACTCACATGATGGAATTTGTGAGTAGTGCAGCGTCTGTGTTCGTCACTTGAGATGTGATTTGTATTCTTGTGACGTCGACCTTTTCCTCCAATCTACACATTGTTAGAGAATATATACGTCTATACAAACCTATGAAATGGCAGGGTTCCAATGTTGATGGATCTTGAATGTTTAGGCACCCTAGGGTTCTTCAATGTTTCTTCTTTTCTTGTGGAAGCTTGTCGGAAGGTCTAAACGGCATCCGTTGTCCTGTCTTATTCCACAATTCAATAGAACAGGGATAATCCCACTAAAGCTAGTGGTATGTTAATAATCTAAATCTTTACACCAATTTTTTCTTCGGCGACGGCGCTAAAAATGCTTGTTGGTATTTATAAGTGCAAATAGAATATGAAGGATTCCGCAAACGCACAGAATATCATTGTAGTATTTTGCCGGGAGTATTCCATGTATTGTCATTTATATTTTACCACAGGGAAACAATGGAGTAAAGACTTATTGAATATCAAAGAAGTATCTATCAGTCAACATACCGGCATGGCTAGAGCAGGGGTGAAGGTAATGATAGGAATTAAGGATAATGATACTCAGGGGATAGATCTATAAGATAACGTAAACTAGTCAACTCGGGAAAGCAACGAGTGAGGTAGATTCCTGTGACATTCTTATTACATGGTCAAATTATATATACATCCAACTATAGTTAAGACTAACTCTACTCTTGTGCACTTCGGGACGCCGCTTAGACGATAGAGTACCAACAATAGATAACTCTACCGACGCGACTACGATCCTACAATTTAAGAACCTGCTCAAATCGGAGTGGACTACAAAGGATAGATGGGGCCGTCACCTCCCGCTGCTACCACCCAACCAGAGGACAGGGTGTACTCACAGACGAGCATCGTATAAGCACCATGCTTACATAAGGCTCGGCTACTTAGCCCAATCGATAAACTAGCAGGCTAAGCGCTCTATGAACCCACACACAAAAGTAATGATAACCTCAACTAAGCAAGATATATATTAAAAGTAAGAATAGCCATTTAGATAGGAATATGATGAATTTATAATTAGTCTTACATGATGTGGAAGTGAAGATACAAGGCTTTGCCGAGCCTCCAAGACTAGATCCGGAACTTGAGCATGAGCCCAACTCGACCCTCACTCCCGAGCTACTAATCTACTACATTGGAGAGTCTAGACCTAATTCTCTGGTGTATCTTAATCCCTGAATGAGAGGTATGAATTAGGGTTTCAGGGATGCTCTAGGGAGAGGGGTAGGGGCTGCTATATATAGGCCGGAGCATCAATTCTGAACCCTCGGATCAAACCGACTTGAAAGAACAGCGTAGATGCAATCTAGGAGGCGGTGGAGAATCGACATTCGAAGGAGGGGCTGATAGGTGGGCCCAGGGGGCCGAGCGGCCTGCAGGTAGGGCCGGTCGGCCCCACATGGCAGCCACCTGCCCTCCATTTCGGTGGTTTGTCTTCTGGAGTCTTCTAGAGTCTTCTTACGTCGGTTTCACTGCGGATAAACGTGATTTGCTTTGACGGATAGGCCCTCCTTGACGGTTTTTTGAGTAAATCCTCCGGCAAACACAAATTCACCAAAACTTGTGAAATTTATTAGTTTAAACCCCTAGACCTATGTTGGCGATCATTTTCATGCATTTATATAAGTTATATTGACGGTTTATGATGAATGTTAACTACCGTCAACAGTATGTAATTTTTGTTTCGTTTTTTTGACATCACTTAACACTTTTGTTCCGACTCTAGCAAGATCTCAATACTACTGTCCGATCACGAGAAGATCTAATGGAACTTGTTGGATATATCACTGGTACGTTTTTGTGGACGCTAGCGATTGTTTAACTAGTAGTTTATAAATAATATGTACTAGTAGAAATAGAATTGTATAGACCCATGGCTATGAACCATATGTGTAAATATATTGATATATAGGTAGATTTCTTAAGGTTGCTGTCAGTACAAATCATGTATTTACACTGATGATTCTCTTAAACTTACCGCTACTATATTTTGATATACACTAATGGTATATATTCTTATGAGAACCACCAATAGTTTGAGTTCAACTTGACCCAATTTGTCTTGGATGGCTGAGCCGGTCTTCTTCACCTCCGTGCCTCTCTTCAGGTTTGTAATTCTTGATCTTGTCCGAGGTTCCTAAGAATCATAACATCATTTAATACCTATCTATTTCCACAATCAAGAAAATAATTACTTGAGAATGAGCTACTTGAAGATTTAGTTGCATACTCAAGCTCTATTAATTGGCCCTTGCATATCATTTCAGGAGTGTCATGTGCATTAAAGGATTGATGTCCTCATCCCCTGAGCCCTCAAGTCAACACCACTCGCCCAATTTGCACCTGTGACGTCTGCTTTCGTCGCCCCCTGCGTAACCCAACACCAACTGTTCTTTCACCCCCCAACCCCGGTGCCACTGTTCCAACACCGCTCGACCCTACGCCTACACAGGACCGTCATTAGGGATGGAAACAGATTCACATAGAATTGGATCTGGATATCACCTTTTAGCACATTTATATATGGGCAAGCATTGTTTGGTTGATAGTTTGCTTGTGTGTCCATTGAAGTTGTGAGTGACCAGCAAGCATTAATCCCAGCCAGACTACTCACAGGAGATCACAGGCAATCGATTTTGATGGACTGGCACTAGCCATCAGATACAAAGCAGCTATAGTCAGGTAATGATATCAGAGTTTCAACCAAACATATCCCGAGAAGATCTCGAATAAGGCACCTACCAGGAAGAAACATAGAAACCATACGTTTAGAGCTTACTCGGTTAGTCTAATCTGAAAATGTGCAACACTAGGATTTAAACCCTATTGGATAGGGTGCCACTCAACAGTCCTACCACAAATCAAAGGCCCTTTCACAGCAGCACATGGAGTTTGTATTCCTTAAGACAAGACAGTTTCTGAAAAGTGAAAGCACCTCGGTGCCCTTTTTATTCGATAACAAAACGCCCACACCAGAAAAGAAAAAGAACAAAGACATTGTGATTATTATTCCGCAATACACTACGGCCTTGTTCTGATGCGTATGTATTCATCTCAATCTACATGTGTTGAAGTGGATTGGAGTGAAATTAAGCTAAGTTCCATTTCAATCCACCCCAACACATATGAATTGAAGTAGATACACATACATCAAACAAGACCTATAACCTAATTAGTAGTAGGTTTAGCCTTCAAGGCAGAATTGGTGCTGAACTCTACGAGCTTGTCGGTTTCAGGCATGACGTCTTTCACAGCGTGGTGGGTGCAGAAGCGATCTGCCCATGCTGTGATTTCAGGGTACTTTTCTTCTTCGAGGAGCTTGATACCAGATATCTTCTCCACTGCCCTGAACCAGCCAAGGTGTGAGCCGAAAACGAGGTCGAGGAAGCCGATGCGGTCGCCGCCGAAGTAGTGCTTGCCTTGACTGCACTTGACGAAAGCCTCCTCCAGATGCTCTAGCGCCGTGGACACTTGCGCTGCTGCTTCGTCCTTGTCTCCGTTGGTGAGCCCTCTCAGGACAAGGAATGCCGGGGCAATCTGCGAAGGAAATTTATTAGAAAAATCAAAAGAATATTAGAAAATCAAAAGAATAGAAGAGGAGAGAAGTCAAATACCTTGTCATCCACGTACTGGGCCCAGAACCGTTCGTTGGCACGGGCGTAAGGCTCAGTCGGAAGGATGGCCGGCCCGTTAGAGGCCCACACCTCATCGATATATTGGATAATGATCATGGACTCACAGATGGGCTTGTCATGGTGGAGCAGGACCGGGATCTTCTTGTAGACCGGACTTGAGCAGCAGCTCGCTCTTCCTGCCGGTCGGCTCCTGCAGGAACTCGTACTCGACGCCCTTGAGCTTGAGCGCCGCGAACACGCGGATGGCGTAGGGGCACGCCCACCCGCCGATCACACGCACCGCCGCCGCTTTCTCTTCGCTGCCTGATGCCATTTGTGTGCTGTATGCTGTAACTTGCCTCAGGATCAGATTCGCTGTATGTACTAGCTGTTTGTAATATATAGCCATGTATATATAGAGATGAATGCGTTGATCATTAACACGGTAACAACCGTGCTTATGTCCTCGCGTGTGTCATTGCCGGTAGGGCTGAAAACGATAACGATAATTTCCGTTTACCGGGAATCGTTTTTAAAAAATTACCGACTTTTGCTCCTAAATGAAAGTGGTGACGGTAACCGAGGAAACGAAAATGAGAATGGTAAAACTATACGGTAATGAAAACGAAAACGATTTGCCTCACTTTCGACCGTTTTCGAAAAATACCGTAATTAGCCAATATTCTACCGTCGATAATTACCGTATCCCAGGCAGGCCACGAGCCCACAACGCCATCCCTGGCTCTTCCTGAATCATAGACTAGGCCCAGCCTACTGAGTGTTGAGCGCTCTCCTTGCTAGCCTTATCCCCACGCAAAAATCATGTCTCTTGCATTATTCCTCGTTTCTATCCCTTTTTAAGTCCAAGTATCGAACTAAACTTGGTTCGATTACGAGTGTACTGGTATGTAAGTTTGTGAGTGGCTAATATGTCTATGTGGCTGTCAGCTTGTGTGCTCGTGTGATCTAACTCTTAAGTCTAGGACATTAGAACTTGTGGTTGTGGGCTTATGGCTTTTGTCACTTCTGGTTCTTTCGTATCAAGTATAACTATGTGTCAAGCTATATAGCTATTGTCATGCTCTGCAGATTGACGTGTTTATTGTATTTCAGATATCGCTTTGATGATTTTCGATCGTTGTCGATGCACTTTCGAACAAATAGTTTCGTTTCCGAAATTATCGGAATATCGACACCGTATTCATTTTCGCCAATATCGTATCGATTTCATTTTCGAGAAAATAATGTGAAAATGAAAGTGATTTAACCTCCTACCGATCGTTTCCAACCGTTTTCAACCCTAATTGCCGGCTTGCCGCCAGGAGACCAAATTCGATCTTCTTTCAGGTGAAAGTTCTCCATTTTAAATTTGTTACTGAACTGTTTTGACTGATTGGTCCGAACAGGATGTCATCTCTCTGACTTTTCTCGTCACATGGCGATCGGCTCTCTCGCAAATCGCCATGAAGGGGTTAGGTTACTGCTTTTTTTTTTGAGTTAGGTGTATAGACGTAGGCACTTACGAGCACCCGTCGCTAATATAAACTTTCCTCCCGCCGGACATTTTGCCAATCAGATTTCATTTATGTGGAGTGAGCAGTGTCAGTGTCAAACAAACTAGCAGCCTGTGTTCGGGGAGGACCGGCATACTGCACTTTCTAGTTCCTTGTTACATGCTCACTTGCGTCACTGCAAGTTTGCATGGGATTTTCTACGGGAAGTAACTTGGTGGCTCTCTTAAATCTTCACAATGGCAAGAGAAACCATCGCTTCCATATCTACAAGCTCCGTGTATCAGTGCCTTCATTGATTTTCCTTTCACTTTCCACCCTCACTTACGCGAGCTAAGCTTAGAGACTATTTAGACCGCTAACAACTAACAACTAAAAGTGAGATATAGCCTATCCAAACAGAAAGGATTAATGCGTGGGCTAATTTTAGGTCATGTTTAGATTCATAGAACTAACAAGTATTTATCAATTTCAAATTATAAGATGTTTTGGCTTCTCTAGATACATTTTTTAAATATAGTATCTAGGTGCATAGGAAAAAAAACAATGTATCTAGATAAGCCAAAACATCTTATAATTTGAAACAAACAAGTAATTGACTAAATTTTAGCCCCTAAGGATTAAAAAACAGACAGACTAATTATTAGTCTATTAATCCACAAAAATAAGATAATAAAACTATTTGTTAATCCTAGTCCATCCAAACAAGCCCTTAGTCAAGCTTTTGACTAGCGGTTAACTAATTATCCAAGTACAACTAGCTAATAAGGGCGAATAGTTCATTATTTATTTCAAAACTTAATTAAACTAAATAGTTAAGTGCAGATGGAGAAATTGAACTTATTCTGGAACTGAAAATAAAATCCACAACTTAAAGCTTATTTAAAACGGTGCATAGTTATTAATAAAGTAAATTGTACTGAAATGTTAAGGTTCATAAAACTTATAGCACAAAAATTTAAATATTTTGTAGGCAAACTTTTTGCAAAAACATACTTAAATAACACCAAAAAATTATCAAATAAATCATGGAATCAAACTTTTTTTTATGTGAAATAGAACACCTCTACATGGGAAACAAACTAATTTACAAATACTTCAAACCAAAATAGTCCACGGAAGAAAATAATAAAAGAAAACTTTAATTTGAAACAAGGGAAAACTTCAAATCTACCCTAAAACAAAAATCAGCCTAACGCGGCCTAAAACAACGCGCAACTTAACTCAACCACGCGCAGCTTAACACAACCAAGCACATAGGTCACTTATAAAATTTGCATTTTAAATTTAAGAAATTCAAACGTAGTTTTCCACGATAAGATGATTTCAAATGAGAAAGTTATCAACTATAAAGTTTCATAACTTTTCAAGATCTACAACTTTCATTTTTTTACTGTTTGTCCATCTCAGGTCGTTTAAAAAATTAAAATTTTAAATTTTTAGAAATTCAAACGTAGTTTTTCTTGACAAATCATTTCAAATCAAAAAGTTATCAACTACAAAGTTTTATAACTTTTCGAGATCTACAACTTTCATTTTAGTTGTTTCTCCATCCGAGATCGTTTACAAAATTTAAATTTTAGTGCTTAATTTTTAATACTCGACGTCTATTTGTAGGGGCAGTTCAATATTGAGCCACCCCTACAAATCGAGCTATTTGTAGGGGCGGCTGATAACACCGGTCGTCCCTATAAATCCATTTGTAAGAGTGACTCATTTAGCAACCATTTGTAGAGACGGCTTAATATAGAGCCGCTGAGCCGCCCCTATAAAGAAAGGGAGGCGTTGCTACGAATCGTTTTTTAGTAGCGATGTTCATACGGGTCGGCGGGAAGGATGGCTGGCCGGCGGCCGCCCGTTATTGGACGCCCAAACTTCATCGATATACTGGAGTATGATCATGGACTCGGCGACGGGCTTGCCGTGGTGGAGAAGCACCGGGATCTTCTTGTTGCCGACCACCTCCTGCAGGAACTCGTAGTCCACGCCCTTGAGCTTCAGCGCCACGTACACGCGGATGGCGTAGTGGCTCGCCCACCCGCCGATCACGCGCACCGCCGCCGCCGCTTCTTCTTCTTCACCGCCGTTCGGTGCCATTTTTATATTTTTGCCGACGATCAGATTAGTGCCGTGGAGTTTGTGGATTGCGAGTTCGTCGCAGCGTTGTGTGGATCTGTATTTGTAGTCTTTGTATACGCAGGTCTACACCCTCAGGAGCAAGGTTTTCCCTTCTTTATTGAAGTTTTCTTTGACCGGACGGTGATAACAGGTTGACCATCATTTTTTACTTTCCTTTTTATATATGGTGATTTAGTAGTCGTGAATCAGGAGTACTAGTTAGTTTAGCTTCTACGTTTGCTCCACTTGACCATTCTGCCTCTTCCTGATGTCATTGCTGGCGTCCTTGAAGAGGTGCGTTTGCATTTCAGGCGGATGAGCTCCACGGGCAACGAGACTTTAGGCGCCGCTGGTGAGGGGCGACTTCAGCAATCGGCCACCGAAAAATTTAAGCATCGAAAAGTTCAGAGATTACACATATGGAGTACATTGCTTCCTTCCTGTGGCTCGTTTGATCTGAGGAAAAAAAATAAAAATTTACAAAATGTGACTAATGATTAGTCAAATTATAAGCAAATTTAGCGATAAGATTCACATTCAAATTTTTATATTCTAACTGACCCTAATATTATTTTTAAGTAATTAACTACAAATTATAAAAGAAATTAATCATAAAAATATATTTTGTATGGCTTTTAATCTTGTGAAATACTCCCTTCATTTTAAATTATAAGATATTTTGACTTTTCTAGATTCGTTACTTTTATCTAGATATACATTATATCTAGATTTATAATAAAAGTTATGAATTTAGAAATACCAAAACGTCATCATTTGTGAGAAAGGAGTAACTTTTTTGTGCCGCTCTTTGCATCACCCATTAATATGCTCGATTTCATCACTCAGGTGCGACTTTAATTTGATTTGCTTGCATGGGATTTTCTGAGACAAACATACTGCCTTTGACATATCATGACGAGGCTACAGGCGCATATCTGGAAGTTGATGATGAGTTAGTCAATCATCTACTCATTCATTACCATATTTGTTTGGTTTGTAGATGGAGTAGGACGATGTATCGTCGCTTCATTTCTCATAAGTCAATAATTAATAGTAGTACGAGGAATGGAGTCATTCTACCAAATTTAAGGAATCAACTCATGATACAGCTACTCATATATAGTATGGAGTGGTTTCTCAAACCAAACACCATATAAATATTCCCTCCAAGATTCATCATCTCAAGAGCCGTGAGCGATTAGATCACTGGTTAGCGAGATGGGAGGTAAAGGGCACCCTTGCAAAGGGCACCAGCTCCCTACAGATGGCATATGAGAACAATATTTTGAGAACACAAGGGGCTACGCGGTGTTGTTGTTTCCTTAACGGTAGTACTCAGGAGCGGGTGTCCATCCGTTCGAACGCCGCTTTCTAGGCCTGCGCATACCAGCCCAATAGGCCTGCTTACTTTCTGCGTCTTCCCATCTCTCTTTCAAAAATATCTCCCCATTGCTCTCGCCAATCACGTGCTGCTGTGTCATTCGCTCACTGCTGTCGTCTTCCCTGCCACGCACCCCATCTCGCGCCGCGCGGCTCCCCCATCCAGCACCGTGCTCCATCCCCCACCGCACCTGCTCTAGCTCGCTGCGCGCCGCGCCACTACTGCTGCGCATCGTGCCCCATGCCCCACGTGTGCCGAGTTGCTGCTGGGTGCTGCCGAGGTGCTACCAACGTTGCCGTTCCCCACCAGAAGGTCGTGGCCGCTGTCGACGCCATGGCGGCTGCATTGCGCGACCTCAGTAAGGAGATGTTGTGATGAAAGCACATGTTGCAAGCGTATGTTTCAAGTGTTTTAGACGTTTCTGAGGTATGTTGCAATTGTTTCATATGGATGCTGCAAAAGTATCAGGGATGTTGCACATGTTGCAAGTATTTCAGAGCCATGCTGGAAGTGTTTCAGAGATTTGTTCAAAATATTTCATCTGTTCCAAACGTATATTGTAAACGTTCTAATCTGGATGTTGCATGCGTTTCACACATATGTTGAAACAATATGTTTCAAATGTTTTAGCTGTTTGAGTCTTATTTTACAGTAATTGTTTTCATGTTGTAAGTTGCAAGTGTTTTATATAGATATTGTATATATTTAATATATATGTTGCAAGTGCATGTTGTAGATGTTTTATCTATTGCATACGTACGTTGCATTCAAGTTTTCATGTTGCACATCTTTTACGTTGTTCGGAGAGTCAGGGGGCACGAGGAATGTGGTGGCATGGCAGGGACACCGGGGAATGGGGCACGACGAGCTGGGGGCCGACGGACAGGGCATGCAACGCGCCGATGTCCTACGGATGGGGCGTGCTCAGACCGGTGGTGGGGGCACGATGGGGGCAGGGTGCGTGTGTGGAGTGGGGCGAATGGCCTCGAATTGGGACAGATAGGGCGGGCTACAAGTGCGAGGCGAGTCTTCCGGACATGCGGGAGCTAAGACTGGGCGGGGTGCACCCCGTTTCTTGAAATTGACTTTATATGTGAAACCGACTGGAATGGACGAGTTCAGTAAGTTTTGTACCGAAGAATATTGAGCCTGTGAATGCGTTGATTTTCCTTTTGGCAGTACTTTTAAGCCAATGAACAATATTTTTCGCTCACAATAAATTAGCATAAGAAAAAAAAAGCAAATTTATGTGAAACGAACAGAGCCAAAGAAAGCTTTATTTCCAGTGGAAGGACACAGACTACAGTTATTGACAGTGACACCACTAGCACACGCGCAGTGAAAATCACGAAGCAGACCCGTTTGCTCATTTGGGACCATTGATAGGCTTTGAGAACGACCCATAGGTGACGCTGAACTCAACGAACTTGTCCGCGTCAGGGATCGCGTCCACCACGGCCGGGTGGGTGCAGAGCCGATCGGCCCACGCCACCAGGTTCGGAACCTTCGCCTTGTCCAGGAGAGTGACCCCGGCGATCTTCTCCACCGCCTTCACCCAGCCGACATACGACACCAGAGCGATGTCCAGGTACCCGACGCTGTCGCCGCCGAAGTAGTGCTTCCCCTGGCTGAGCTTCACGAAAGCCTCCTCCAAGAGCTGCAGGGCGGCGGACAGCTGCTCCGCCGCTTGGTCCTTGCCCCCGTCATCCGTTTCCTTGAGTATGCGGATCGCCGAAGGGAGCTGCGTGAGTGTCAACCAGCCAGGAAGAGCATGATTAGTCTCACTCTGACACCATCATTATAAATTGCTACTGAAAACTGATTAGAATTGCTCAGACAAAGAGCTCGATCGACTAGCTAGTTTTGCATTACCTTGTCATCGACGTACTGTGCCCAGAACCGCTGGACCGCACGGGTGTAAGGGTCGGCGTGGAGGAAGGCCGGCGCGTCGGAGGACCAGACCTCGTCGATGTACTGGACGATGATGAGAGACTCGGAGATGGGCTTGCCGTGGTGGAGCAGGACGGGGATCTTCTTGTGCACCGGGTTCGACCTGAGCAGCAGCTCGCTCTTCTTGCCCACCACCTCCTCCACGAGCTCGTACTTGACGCCCTTCAGCTTCAGCGCGATGAGGACGCGGATCACGAACGGGCTCGCCCATAGGCCGATCACACGCACGGCCTCTGCCTCTGACATTTTTGTGGTTCGAGTTCTTGGCCTAGTGCAGAGCTCTACTGACAGTATTTATATACAAAACATTGCACTCAAAAACATTATTGCCATTCACATCACATGCAGCAGGCCCCGCCACCACGTGACGACAACTCGAGCGAGCCTCAAAAACATTGCACTCGGACGGCCCACCACGCGAGCAAAACGTGCTCCACTCCACTCCAAACCCCAGTGCCGTGAAGCTTCCTCTACGCCTCATCATCCGTCCCCGTGGACACGAAACCAACGCGGTTTAACCTATCTCCTGCTACGCGTACTCCCAACGCTGCCTCAGGGAGCCCAAAAAAAAAGAAAAGAAAAGAAAAAACTCATCCTCCCGACGGCCCGGTGCAGGCAGACACCTCCGGGCCCCGCGGGTACCCTCTCCACGGCACAGGAGGACCTCCCGGCACGGAAGGGCGAGGGAGAAGGGCGAAGAACATGCAAGTGCTAGCTTAGCAAAAACTTGGCACATGGGATGGGACCAAGTTAGCTTCGGTTCCATGGATTAAAAAAAATCAATTACTCTGACATGTTTATGATGAACAGCCTATGAGCGGAAGGAGCATTGTCAGAAACTATATATATATTTTTTTTCATTATTTGATGATTTCGTACTTAAAGTACTTGCAATACATAGGAGCAAAATTTTCTTGGCTAGCTTCTCTCAGATGGCCTCATCTTAGTTTCGTCTTCTATTCTAAACACTAGTATTGCCCTTACTGCTATTGTAGCTACCTGTGTGTTAACAAAATTGTTACTCATCCATCCATGCAAAGACCACTTACCAATTATAATATACTTAGAATATTTCCTTTTTCCTTCTAAAAGCAACCGGTGAGAAGTTTGTCGAGCGTTAGTGTATTTTTATAATAAATGAGCATTTTATAGGAACATAACGGTTCTGTGTTTTTTCTTATGTCTCTAATAAGCAACTTTTTTGTGTGGGGTAGATCCTTGTTAGCCGAGTGGTGTATTGTGAGAAGCTCTGTCACGTGGCGGCGAGCTCATTTCTCTGACTGAGGAGAAGTTTGCTGCAAGTAATAGTTGTATGTGGATATACATATTTATATACAAAACGAGCTCGTGCTCTTTCTTATCTTTTTTTTTTCTCTGAGTCTGTTCGCTGGTTGGTTTCTGACTTGATAAGCCCAATTAATACTGGTTTATTACGAGAGAAAAACAATGTTGCATAACGAAACCGACAAGCGAATGAGTTTTTCTGTCCAGGCTATCTAGACGTCCTTGCGTGCGTCATGGTCCGGACAGCTGCCTCTTTTTCCAGCGTCTCGTCGAGTCGTCGTACCTTGAGTTTCGAGCTGATGTGATCGCTTTCGTCATCGAAGCTGCTGTGTCTTGGATTTTATACGGTCGATCAGTTTTAAAGATCTTCACTTTGCCAATTAGACAGCCGTTTCCTAATCATAAAGACAGAAAGATAGAACGAATTGATTTAGAGGTAAGAGAAAGAACAGTCAATTGCAGAGTGACAGTTTTATCAAACAAAAAAATTACAGTGACACAGAAAGACATATTTTTTCTCCTTTTCTGTAAGCTAACCCTTCCGTCCCATACGTCAAACTTTCTTAAGTTTAATTAAATTTATAGAAAATATAATCATCATTTATATATCTAAATAAGTTTATTATAAAATATATTTAATAATTTATTATAAAATATAGTATTATATTTGTTCAAGTCGAAAGTGTTCCACGTCTTGAAAAATAATAATGACACTTTTTATAGGACGAAGAGAGTAGACTAGAAGGATGACAGACACTACTATCCAGGATTGGAATGCTCATGAACGGTTGTATCATATTGCTTTCTGTTACCATTTTTCTTTTTTTCTGCCATTACTGGGTTTGTTTTTTTTTGTATATATAATTTAAGTTTAAGTCATGACACAGCATTCAGATCGATCATCTAGAACTGGATATGCGGTGTTCCATGCTCGTCGCTAAATGTTACAAAATACTTCAAACATTTTATTTTTACCCCAAATCAAATTCCTCTAACTTTGACTAATTTATAGAAAAAATACACTAGTATCCGGAGCATTAGTAATTTCATTAACTCTAACCTGAAATACATCTTGATAATACATTATTTAGAGAAGCCTAGCAATAACCCACAAAATAGGTCTCCTACTTTTGAGGGCTCTATTTTCTGGGATACACTCCAGCAGTAGCTCTCAAAACAATGTCTTCATTCTTTCTTTATCTTCTCTCAATTGATGAACATGGCTATGCTGGGGGCGCAGCCATTAGGAAGGGCTCCAATGAAGAGGGGCATAGCCATGGCTCCAGATGAGAGTGGCGCAGCTAGGGAGCGAGGGGCTCTAGCGGGGAGAGGCGACACGGGGAAAGTCACCAAGAGAGGAAGGAGCCGGGGAGGGGTGGTCGCTAGAGCTGCCGTGTTGTTTTCTTGCTCGAGGTGCGACCCCAGAGTCCAAATGGGCTCCGGATGAGAGTGGCGCAGCTAGGGAGCGAGGGGCTCTAGCGGGGAGAGGCGACATGGGGAAAGTCACCGGGAGAGGAAGGAGCCGGGGAGGGGTGGTCGCTAGAGCTGCCGTGTTGTTTTCTTGCTCGAGGTGCGACCTCTCCCTTACTGTAACGCCTATCCACGCGTCGCACTGTAACACCCTAGAGTCTAAACGGCTTAGATCCACTCTGGACACTGAGCGAACCACACCTTCCACCATCCTACTTACGCTTTCGTCCTCGCTTCGTGTAAAAGGATTAACCCAGGGATGATGGGATGAATTATAGAAGCCTTATATGTTGGTCTAACCCACCCTAAACAATCAAGGTGGGACTAAACCCTCCATAATATCTCATTAACATGCACAAGGGCCACTCTGAGCCAAACTCCAAATTGGCCGGATGTGACACGACTTGTGAACAGGGAAGCCGAAAGCGGGGTGGTGCACGGATGGCGAAACGGGCGACGCATGAATGAGGAAAGGAAACGTGGGAAACAACCAGAAACGGTGATTTGAGGGCTTGGCCCAGGACCCCTAGGAATGAGGGGTGGGAGGGGGATTTGAGGCTCCTCTCAAATTTGAGGGCTCTAGGAGGCACCCTCATAAATAGGATGAGGACTCAAGTAGAGGCTTTGCTGGAGTTGCTCTAAGTATTACGTATGTTCATATATCTTTTTATAAATCTAGTCAGAGTGCAAGTATTTAGCCGCTCATCTCTATAAACCACGTGTATCCAAAGAGTCAAATCCATGATCTTTAGCCTCATGCGACATGTCTCCACCCACGGCCCTGCATGCTCACTTGTGAGTGAGTATAGGATGTTACTATTTTGTATTAGCATTTTGTAACCTTGAATTAAATATTTTGACCGCTAAATAATCTTAAATAAAAAAGGTTTTGATTACAAAGTTTTAGATCTTGTGAAGCACAACAGTCTCCATCTGAGATTGTTTAAAAATTTCAAAATTTTGAATATAAGAATATGATAAATTAAAACATATGTTTGATATACTCTAAACGAATTGAATAAAAAAACTTGTCAACTACAAAGTTGAAGATCACATCAACCAATAAATTGGGTATTGACTATATGTTAACAATTGCGGTCTTTTGAAATTTTTAAAAATGAATTTCAAAAACTAAACTACTTAAATAAAAAAACTTGACAACTACAAAGGTCTAACTAAAATGTGGTGTAGACCATGTCAACATCCGAGATCATTGAAAAATTCTTAAATTAAATTCCAAATTGAAGGAACCATGATACCTAAGACGGGGGAGGGGTTTTGAATTAGGCAACTTAATACTAAACACGACCTCTAATGTGTTTCTATCTCTACCATAAAAGAGTTATGCAACATAGGTTCCAATCCTATCACTAATGTAGGAAGTTAGACTAGGAATATAAAGCACACAACTTAAGTACACAATATAAATGCAGAAGCTTAAGGGTAGAAAATGCAAACTCCCGTTGATGACTCTCAATTTTTACCAAGGTATCGAGAACCCCATGCTTCCCTCTAATCCTCATTTGAGCCTCTCGTGAGGATGCCCTCATATGGGCTAAGCTATCGACCAGGTAACTCCATGGAGCTCGCGGGCCTTCTCCATGTGCAAGTGGGTCCATTAGGCCTTCTCCAAGATGACTCCTGTGCACACCGGATATTAAGGTGTGCACACTGAAACTATGCCCATGTCAGTACACTGTGGGAGCACTATGGTGAGCACTCTAGTGACACACCGGAGCACTCTGATGAGTGCAAAACAGCACTATGAAGTGCTTTTCTCTCATCTTCACAAGCAAGCATGCTAACTCAAAAATGTTTTGCCAAACATTTGAGCCCTAAGTTAGTATTTTTCAAAGTGTTTTCAAATATATTTTCGCTTGCTACTCACCACGTCACTAGGTCTAATGCATATGCATGTATATCAACACCTAGTGGCACTAGATAACAAATGTAGCTTTAGAGCTCTCCTCTTAATAGTATAACTATGTATCATAAACCCAGTACGACCATGCATTCCATTACGTCTCGACAAAGCAAAAACAAAACCCTTGACATACACCTTTGACTTCGGGCTTGTTTTCACCTCTTCATTTTCTCTCCAAGTGAGATTGTTCCATTTGCATGATCACGCTTCATCCAAGTCCTAGCCTTCCTCACCACCTTGGCGTGGACTTCACCTAAACTAATCAACACTTAGGCAAAATATTAGTCCACTAGTTGTCACTCAATTACCAAAACCAAACATGATGCTTTCAAAGCAACATGGATTTGGACGCTTACAATTAATTGTGTCTTGTGCAACTGAGATGAAGAAGAAACTTTGCAACATCTGTTCCTCCATTGTCATTTTTGCAAAACAGTGTTGGAGATTCATCAATCTAGATCACTACGTAAAAAACGATTTTTAGCAACGGATCAATTTTTTTTGTAGGGGCGGCTGGTGATGGAGCCGCCCCTACAGTGGCGTGCTCGTGTGCCCAGACACCAGCCGC